CTCAACATGTGAGGAATATATAACCAGGGCTGCGAAACAAGCCACAGGAGGGGGAAGGAATAGAGTGGGAGGGCAAACATTGAGGTCTGGGCTGCGTCTGCAAATTAAGCTTTGCATAGTCCACTGCAGCAAGTGACAGTCGTTGAGTGCATGTCTGACGGTGGGTTTATGTTCCAGAGTGAACGAATGATGTGAGATACGATTCCCATGGAGTCGTCTTCCACTTTTACATAACGGCGAGCCAACTTCGGCAGCGCTAATGGAGGCAGGGAAAGAGGTTTGGCCCAGCACTGACCTTGGTAATAACAAGAGAGACACAGAAAAGAGTCTCATCCACTGTGATCTTTTCTATGGACTAGATACACAACCCTCCCCTGGCCTGCCTAGCTGCCTGCCTCCTTGTGTGCACAGCCCCGGCGCTGTGCAGTCTGATTGAGGTTGACTGCGGTATTATTTCATTAATTAAGTTTTTCCACTTCCTCCGCCTCTCCCTCCCGTCTTCCTGTCGAATGAGGGTGGCGGAGCGACGCCCTTCCTCTCCCCTGTCCTCTGGCGCTTCACATCCCCCCCATCACTGCTGATCATTGTCTCAATTACTCATCCTTCCTCTCCCTCCCCTGTCTCCCTCTTTCTCTTCTTCCTCCTTTCTCCTCTTATCTCATCCCAAATTGCTCTATACACTCCTCCCCCCTCTCTCGCTCTCTCTCTCTGTCCTCCCAAATTGAGGTGGGAAAGATTCGAGGCACGCCATTCCTACATCTCTGCGTCGTTCCCGCTCTGATCTCTGTCTCGCATCAGGATTTCACAGATGTTCTGTGATTATTTCTACCTTGATTTAGTGATATCTTTCCCCCCCTGAAGTGCAAGGAAAATTTTCGGCATTTTCAGTGTTTAGCAACCAAGATTGGGTTTGGGCAGGAGGGGGGGGGATATTTTCGATCCAAGGACAAATCAGCTCTGATCTCTTTGTTCACTTTGTTCCTGTGAAATTGAACAGTAATAGCAGCACCTGTAACACGTCTAATGGATTTAAGAGGATTTGTCGTGATGCAGTTCACTGTTTTAACAAAAATTGCCTTTTGTGATATTTGTGACCTGTTGATTATGATGTTAAAAAAATAACTTGCATTTGCAAAAATCACATTTGTGAAGGCTCTCCTGGTTCAATTTGGCTCCCTTGCTCTCAGTCTCTGTCTCCCTCTCTGTCTCCCTCTTCTTTGTATCCATTACCGCTCCACTTTTCCATAATGGAAACATTAGACTCTTTTACCTCTCTGCTATCTATCACGTCATTTAAACTCTTTCCTTTACTTTCTGTTTTTAACTTCTCTACTTTTTCTCTCCTCTACCACTTCCCACCCCCTTTCTATGAATCTTGTCTTCCTCCCTCCTCCCTCCTCCTCCTCCTCTCTGTGTCCACTGGGCTCTGGGTCATCTCTATCGTCTCACATAGTCTCCTGTCCCCATCATATCACCCAACAGCTTGTCACAGGCAATCAGTCTCCCTGCCTCGCTTCCCTGCATGGCCTCCTCCTCCTCCTGTCCTTGCCCTCTTCTTCCTCACCTCCCTCGTCTCCCGTCACCTTCTTGTCCTCATTTGTGTGTCAGGAGTTATTACTCTCAGAAATCATAATCCTCCGCCTTTCTCTCTCAGACCAGTTGAGGGTATTTACTCCGTCCTCCATCCATTCCTTTAATCGCTGCTACACTTGGCGTTTGCCCTCCAGCCCATCTTCATCACACTCTGTACCCAGGATGTAGTGGAGGGTAAAACATGTTTTTTTGTAGGTCTAAGATAATTTAGATAGATTATATATTTTAAATCATCCATTTTGTTTTCTTACACTGTGCCTCTGGAGAAAATTCTGTAATTAATAATAATGGTAAACATAATAAGGAATAATTTAATATAAATAAATGTTATTTCGTGCAGTTGCATTCAATTAGTTTGTTAAATGATTATCTGTGCACAGAACAATATTCTATTTTGCAGCAAATTTGAAGGCTCAGACTGCTAATTCCTGACCTTTTCTTATCTGATCTGATCTTATATTTGATTTAGTCATTGTGAAAATGTATGTGGTTTACATGTGATTCGACCAACAGATGCCGAAAAACGTTTCATAATATACAAAATCAATACATTTCCAATGTGGTAAGCACTTTGCCTCACTTGATTGGGTAACCAGTGAATATGACCAAATGTTTAATTGTATTGTTTTTATGAAACCAGCATAATTTAACCCTAAAGAGATTAAAAAAGTTGATGAAGTTATAAAATCCAATAAAGCTTCTCTGAGAGGGCAGAATGGAGATGGAGGGGGGTGGACAGTGCAAGCATTTTGTCATTATCTTTTATGTATGTTGTTTAATTCAAGACATACAAGAACAACCTCCCTTACTTTTTGTTGTCTGTGAGGTTTTTGCTCGTGTGAGTTTTCTGAGTTGAGCTCTCTTAACTGCACAAACCTGTCGTAAATGGCCTGTTTCAAACTTGATGAGTGCCACTTGTTCGCGATTGTGGGCTTGCTTCATTCACCAAAATGTTACCCGAGTGTAAACAAAAGAATTTCACACCACGGAGGCTTCAAGTACTCCTGTCAGAAATCGGGAGACGAAAGCATAACGACCAGAAACAATTAGAAAATATTAATAGTACAGCTGCTAAGGAGTCATCAGAGCAGTGACAAGCACAAAGAGTAAACTGTTTGACATGCTGTTTGATGCCAAAAAACATCTTCCATTACACGGCTCATACGACAAACCTGGACCACTTGAGAGCAGTCTAAGTATGAGAAGAGTTTGTAGTAATCTGTTCATACAAGTGGTTCTTGCATGAGACCCAATCCTTTCTGACTCTGAAATTACTCCCAATATCTCTAAATAACAGTGCTACAACCTGGATATGACATTTGAGCAACCAAAGATATTTAAAAAAAGTATTTTTCAATGACACAATTAAGCGCTGATGAAACTAGACGTGTACTTAATTAGGCACTCTCTTCTTATTTTCATTTATTCAAACATCATTAAAATAAATTACACTTCCCTCCTACGTTACACAGATCTCAGGCAGAGAAAACACTATGCTTTAAAATTAATGGTAACACAGCAAATAGAAAAACCTGATGAACATACAAACTTTTTTTGCGCAGCACTTTATTTAAGCCTTCTTTATATATCCCATCATCCATCCCTGTCTCCTGGCTTTCCCACCATACTGTTGTTCGCCTTGACCTCCGCCTGCATGTCTCCTCCTCTGCTTTCACACTCTGCGTCCTGCAGAGATGGAGGGAGGGAGGGAGAGAGAGTGAAGAGAGGGAGGTGTTAGAAGTGAAGCTGCCTCTTTTTCACACCTCCCTTTCTCTGTCTCTCTCTCTCCAGAGCCATCCGCCATCCCTCCCTTTCTGCTTCGCCACTGACGGGCTAATCTATAGCCTGAAGCAAAGTGGCAGGGGGGAAATTATTTTTTATATTTCTTTAAGGAGACAAGGTGAGGGTGAGCCCAGGGGCTATAACGGGAGGAAAATAAGGATAGACGGGTGGTGTTTGGGAGGGTTGGTGGAAGAATATGTTTGCTGTCTTTTTTTTTTTTTTACTAGCCACTGTGACTACACACCAGCCTCTCTATTAACGGAAAGATTAAAGCCAAAGATGGTTTGAAATCTGATGGAAAGGCTGGGAGTTGGAGTAATGAGGGAACATTTGTGTACAAACGACTGAGACTGGCTGCGGCTCAGTCACTTTGCAGGCCTCTTTCATCTCTTCAGCTCTCACCACCTCTTTCTATCATCCTTTCTTTTAGTCACTTTTATTTATGTAGCCCAATATCACAAATTTGCTAAAGGGGCTTCAAAAATCTGCACAGCATACAACACACTCTACTCTTGATGCGGATAAGGGAAAAACTCTTCCGAAGAAACCCTTTAACAGGGAACAAAATGTAAGAAACCTCAGGAAGAGCAACAGAGGACATACATGGACAATAATAGTCTGCATCCTCACATCTCTATCCCTCCACTTTTCCCGCTCTTCCCTCCATCCTGATTCTCTGTGTGTTCCCTCCTCCTCCTCCTCCTCCCCCTCCAGCCTCTGTGACCTGCGGACCAGTGATCTTTAATGCATTCACTGACATGCTTTATGTAAGAAGAGGTGTTAGAGTGTTGCAGGGATTCATGCTCACACACCCTCTTGCCTGTGCACTTTGGCCTCCTTCCTGGGCTGCAGCAGAAAGAAACTTGTTTGATTCCAAAGCGTGTTGGGATGCTGATTTAACACTCTGACACTGTGTCTTTACTATGCTGATTGAATTGTTGCAAATACATATTAAATCCCTCATTGGATGTATTAGCACATCAATACCTCAATATTAAATTGGAAAATTCTCTCTTCGCTCAATTAAAACATAAGCAGTGATAGTAACGGGGAATTACCAATTGGAGCTTTAACTCATTCATCACAGTCTGTTTTCCAACCAATCAAGTCCAGTTTTTCTCTCTACACAATGTTTTGTGTCTCAGGGGCTCCATTTTATTTCATATGCGCCCTTGATTGGATTACCATCCCTTTTTTGTTTCTATCAGCCAGTCTATGCCTCTCTAAATTACCCCCCTCTCCTGCTATTTCTCCAGCCCGAGCAGCAATTGCAGTTGACTCAAAGCGGTTGAGTCCATGCAGCGCGGCAGGGGTGTTAATGAATTCCAGCGGACTGCTAAATGAGGACTTATTAAAGTGCTGCCGCCTCAGAGTTTGACATTTCAGAGCTTCTGGTGGAGTTTTAAATCGCTGCCTCTGCAAATGTCACTCGCTGACTCTCTGGAATGGCTGACCATATGAATAGAAGCTATTGTTGGCACCGGCCATAGATTGAGAGAGAGTGAATATGTGTGGCTTTAACGGATGTGTTTCCACTGTGTGTGTGTCTGTTTTGTGCGTTTGTGTGCGCATATACCACCCTTCTACTTGGCTAATTGTGTAATTTTGTCTTTCCATCCCTCCAGCTACGTCAGATGGGACACGTCAAGGTCTGGATAGCATGAGAGGCGGAGTGTGTGCCACGCAAGGCATGAAGGTGGTGCTGAAAGTGGGGCAGAGTAAGTCTTCTCACCTCTCTCACCTTACATTATTATTATCTCTCACACACACGTACAACTCCTGGAGTTTGCCACACATTGACCTTTTTTTCACACACTTTCTCCCTCACTCATGACACACACGTTGTTATCCATGCATCACACACAATCGCTCACTTAACACACAGTGTGACTAACACACATTGGCTCCAGTCCACCGCATCGCACATCATCTCCCATCTGTACAGTACAGAGCGGTTCATTACTGCACCTTATCTGACATGCAGCCTCTTCCACTTTTATACCATCTCTCTTATCTTCCTCTTTGATACACACACATCATACAAAACGCGCGCGCACACACACACACTTACATCACTTCTTTTTTGTGTGCGTGTGTTCTCGCTGAGCGTATTAGGTCTCGTTAAGTGGTGAGAACAGCGGAGAAGTGTGGGATCAGTCGGCTCTAATGAGCCCTGTTGACTCCCCTCTCACTCTGCCTTTTAACTACCACTGACTCATGCTGGACACACACACTCAGACACACACACATTAAAACTCTCATATCCCCGCGCGGGATATACATTACAGGCATAAACATTAACTCACACGTGCAAGGACACGAGCGCGCGAAGGTGTACGGGCGCAGACATCGAAACCGGAGTGTCCTCACAGGCTTATGGACACACACCAGAACACACACATTTCCCCACACAGCAGACCTGCCAGCTAAAGCGCGATAACAAAATGACTCCTTTCAGTGTTAAAGCACACAGTCAGTGGTTTTTAATGACTCGTGGCTGCACACACGTCTAATTTGTTTGGAAAATATTCACAGGTAATGACCCTCACATGCAGGCTTTTCAGAAAAACAGCAGAAAAAGGGCCCATTTAAGCATTTTCACTGACCTGTGCATTCCTACACATAATAGGCACCTGTCCTTCACACGACCCCCCTCACACACACATGAACACACACTCGCCTATTTTCTATTTCTTTAGCCTATCCTGCGTTATCAGGCCTTGTGTATTGTAGGTGCTCTTCATCAAAGAGCCAAGTGGCGCTGCTGTGACTCTATCAGTCCGTAACATCAGCATAGTCAGCTCGGCTCAATAGAAATACCACCACACGTACACTTTCTTTCCCCTGGCTTTTTCACCACACAGGCAATGGAAATGCTACCTTCCTCACACACACACACAAACACACACATACACACACACACACACACACACACTCAAACCCCTCTGCCACTTCTGCAAAACTCTATAAAGTTCTAAGACGCACACACACATCTTTCTATTTGTCATCTTTCTTCCCCTTTTCTCTCCGTCAGCTTCATCTTCTGTCTTTATCTCTTTTCTCCTCTGTCCTTCCTTCACTTTTTCTCTATTCCCTCTGCGTTTGCCTTTTTTTCTTTCTTTTAACCTATTATTATTATAGCAACATTGCTTGCTTCCTTTACAAATTCCCCTTTTCCCTTTCCTCATCACTTCCCTTTGATTTTGCATGCTAACCATCTCTCCTTACAACTCTCCCTCTCAGTCCCCCTCTCTGTTATTTTCACTTTTTTCCTCTGTCTTCCTGTCTTATCTGCTATGTGGCTGAAAGGTCACGTCTGTGTTGTTTGTCGTCTAAATAAGCAGCGTGCCGCTTCATGGTGATCTCTGATGAGATATGGCGCTCTGCTTCGCACCGAGGAACACACACGCACACACACAAAAACACTCGCCGACACACACTTGCACCTTTGCCCCACACACATACATTGACCTGTCTTCTCTTATTTTATTCTTTATCTATCTTGCTTGCTCTCTGTCTCTGTCTCTGTCACACACACACACACACACGCACACACACTCTCTCTCACACACATACAGTCTGAACCTCCCTTCTCTCGTCCCTGCTGACCACACAGCAGTTTCTATTGATCCAGACAGCACCGCCCCTAACTTCTGTTTGGTTGACTGTCATAAGGGAGCTGCCAGCCAATAGCCTTACACTTCTCTAAATGTCAGTATGTATAGGTTGATGGCTGTGCGTGCACACACACATTGATCAGTTTGTGCATGGGCGCAATGCAGTGTGTTTTTTTGTGGGTTTACTGTTTCACCCATAAGCACCCCATGTTCATATCTATTCTGCTCTCCCCTGCTGCTGCAATGACCAATAACAGACTTTCTTTTTAAAATGTTGCAGCAACTGCAGAGCTGAATAGTCATATCCCGATATAAAACTCTATTCTTGCAGCCTACTGTTGGCCAGATGGCTCAGAAGCGAACAAAATCAGTATTTTCTGAACCATCTCTTTCAGCGGTGAGGAGTGGCACTTCTACAATAGCTGCATCTGTGTGTGTGTGTGTGTGTGTGTGTGTGTGTGTGTGTGTGTGTTTGCATGTGTCACATAAACGCACTTTAATGCCATCACCATTACTGAGGGCTTGCTAGACAGATGGCCTGATTTAGCGACTACAGATTACAAGCCGTTATGGCCCTGTGTAAATTCACTCTGGCCAAAACAACAAACGGCCTCTCTTTAGTTTCCCATTCAAACAAATGGAAAAGTGCTCATACACGGCACATAGAGGCCCAATCAATATGTGCTCTCCTATAATGGGAATGGAAGAGGGGAGCCTTTATTAAAGCTCCTCTGTCTCTATTTCTCTTCCTGGCTAGCTCTCTGTTTGCTAATGTCACTTATTGGTTCCAATTCTGAGAGCCTTGGCTGTTGTAGAAGATCGAGGCTGTCTCTGTATTTCTGTCATTCTGCTCATATTCCACACGTATTTTTCCTCTTCAGGTCCATATGGGCTGCCTCCGAAGAAGGACCCGCCAGCGGGACGCACCACCAACAGAAACCCAGGTAAGCAGGAGACCAAATGGAGATAATCCTCGTCGGCTCCATCCATAAAATGGATGGAGGGAATAAGCAAAGACTAGTAGATAGTAGAGTAGTAGTAAAAGCAGCGGGGAGAGGGAGGGAGGAGGCGACAGATGGAGAATGTGCAGCGGTGACATCTGTGGATCTCTCTATTTAATTCCATATATTTCTCTCTCTCTCTCTCTCCCTTGCTCTCCATCCCTCTCCTCCTCGTCTCTGCGCCCGGCCCTCCGAGCTAAGTGCTGCAGGCGGGGAATGGATGGCTAATAGCTACCTTGGGAGAAGGACAAGAAAAAGAGAGGAAGGAAGAGAAAGGGAGCGAGGGCAGCAGGAGAGAGGGCCAGACCGGCGGCGACATTTCAGAGAATTATTATTGTCATTAGTTTGGGTGGCCTGGATTCGGTAGTTCCGTCAAGAGAGAGAAAGAAAGAAATGAGAATTACGGAAAGATGAGGGGAGAGGGAAGAAGAGACATAGGGGAGTGATGGAACAGAGTGGGTAGAAGTGGGAGAAACATAAGGAGGAGAAAGAAAAGAATAATTGAAAAGCAAAGAGGAGAAGGGAATAGAACAAGGAGATGGAAATGGAGAGAGGCTTAGATTCATGCTCTACCTCAAAGTCATTCAGTGGAGGAGAAAGAACACGATCGGCTCACAGTTGTGTTCATTTCTCTTTTTTTTTTTTTTCCTCTTTCTGTACTGAATTTGTATACTATACCAAACGCATGAATTGGGGCATTCACACATTGTCCACTCACTTGTCCATACCTCACATATGTGAGAACTGTATGTGTGAAGTAAGCAACAATAGTATGCATTGTTTTTACTAGAATGAGGCAGATCAGACTGGACACATGACAAGGCTGATTTACATTACACACATAATGAGGGACTTCACACATTTTTGACTCTCAGACAAGCACATATTAGCACACACTTATCTGAAATCATTGTTTTGACTCCTGACACAACAGCCATGCCAGAATTTCTAATCCTTGTGTGAATACGCTCAAAAATCATCCCAGCTAATAACTACAATGTTACTCAAATCTGATCCTGTCTAGAGATGTAAACAAATACATAATCGTGATACGACAGATCATTTCTCTATGGACAGATATGCACAGCATCTGAGTGTTTATCTTCCTCGGTCACCAACTACACACATTTGTTTCTTCTTTTCAGGGTCATACCTTAGTAGAATAAAAACACACAGGCATCATACACACACTAACAACTCACTCTTTACGATGGTGGCAAGATCTGAGATTTGTCACAAATAACCAGAAGGCTTAAAACAGAGAGGTGTAGATAGTTTTAGAATCAATATTCAGACATTCAGCAGGGTTTCTTCACAATAGCTTTTCATCAGATTAGTTGAGCAGTGCAGGATAAAGCTGACTGTTGTTGCACAGGTGTTATTTTTACCTCATGATCTGATATTGAAGTCTGGCACTGTGTGCAACTGTGTGACAGTAATAAGACAATTGTATAAATTGCATATAACATAGACCCCAACCAGCTCCAGTACAAACCTGAATACAGATACAGATTTGATAGTAGCCTTGCATTACACCCCTAATCCACCTACATGACATCGTCACTGGTCATGATCTGAATTTCAACTCATATTGCTAGTGCTAATGTTTCTAGTCACTTGTTTTTCTGCTAGTGCAATAAAAACTAAGGATCAGCCAATATAGTTTTTTCCAGAGCCGATACAGATACCGATAATTAGTAATCAAGGAAACCGATAACTGATATTTGGAACTGATATGAATATGCAGTAAAAACTAAACTTATTTATAAATTATTTATAGTCAAAATAATAACTAGTTGTGGAATTTAACTAACTACATTCACTCAAGTACTGTACATTTACTCAAATACTGTACAATTTTTAAGTACTTGTACTTTACTTGAGTATAACCATCTTATGCTACTTAATACTTGTACTCCTCTACATTTATTTAATAACTTACTAGCTACTTTGCAGATTCATATTATTAATACAATATATAAATCAACTAGTAAATGATGATGTATGTTTATAGGTTAAGCTATCCAGCAGTATAAAGAAATTAAAATTAGCTCCTCCTTTACCAGCTGTAACGTTCAACAATGATAGCAATCATACAGGGTTGGTAGTATGTTAAAACATAATATATATATTTATATAAATGCACTTGTGTTGGATTGATATCAACTGATACGCAAAGTTAATTTATTAGGAAGGATTATTTTATTATATATATTATATTATTATTATATAGATATTTTATTGTCAATCAGATAAATCCGAAAAAATAACCATACTGATAATCAAAATAATGCTGAATAATCGGGCCAGGCTGATAATCGGTCTATCCCTTAAAAAAACAAATGAATTTATTAAAAAAGATGGAAACAGACGGAAACCGATTACACTGCTCCTGCATCTTCTGTTGTAAAATAAGGTATTCATGTCATGCTGTCTCTCCATTAGAAACCAAGCACAACAACAAATAATGGAAAGAGCAAGGGTATCAGGAGTGTTTGCAACCGCAATGTCCCTGGTGCAAGTCCAGACGGGGGCCAGTGGTGCTTATAAACCCACCTCTGTATCACCATAGCAGTTGAAATTCTATAAGACCAACTACCTCCTGAGATGTGAATAATACTGGAGGAGTAGACGGGGAAGGACAAACGAGTCAAAAGCAAGGATAAGACTATGTTATCACCTTGACCCGTTCTTTCATTTCTGACCTGTTGGATGTTTCTTTTCAAGGTGAAATTCACAAATGAAATAAGAAAAGAGGGCGGCAGAGTCTGAACTTGTGTGATAAAAAAAGGAAACACAGGAGGGAGTAAGAAGTGAAAAACAGGGGGAGGTGGAGGAGGAGAGGTGAAGGAAGAGGACATAATAAAGGGAACCGGTGAAAGGCGGCGATCATAATGGAGATGGAGAATGAAGGATGTTTGGTTAATGGAGGGAGGAAGAAAGCAGGAGGAGGAGAAGGGAGTGTAATCGACGTCCGGCATTAGCACCGGGCTCCCAGTCAGTCCAGCGCAACGGGGGGCCTAGCAGCAGGGGGGGCGAGGTGTGTTTGCATGTATTTGCTTGCACGGTTGTGTATGTCCGTATCTTAGTGTTTGTGTTGCCAGGCACTGAGCTCAGAGCAAGGTAGGTCATTACAGCTACAATAACCCGAAGACGGAGAGAGCCACAGAGCGAAGGAGAGCGAGGAAGCGGAGGAGACGCAGGAGAGAGACAGACAGGGAGAAAAGAAAGGGATGTGTGCCAAGAATAATGATAGACCAATCCAAAGGCTCTATATAGCAGGCACTCGCATTACCGGCCTTAACCAGTTTGCCACACACATTCACACGGTCCGGTGCCAGAGCCATAGCCCCCCCAAACTCTATAAACATACACACACACATACACACACACACACACAGATGCACACACTCTATACACGCGTCCACACCATCGTCCACCTGCTGAGTTCTGACCCAACCTCCTGCAGAGAAAACTGTGCTCTCCGAGGCTGTGAAGATCTTTGGTTTCAGGCAGACACACAGCAGACAGAGGTAGCAATCGGCTGACAAACAGAAAGATAGCGTGACAGACAGTTTGATAAAAAGACAGACAGGCAGACAGGAAGGCCAGCAGGCAGGCGGAGTGTGTGGTCTGGTGGTAGGAGCAGAGCAGGGGAGGCTCTATTCATGTGGCTGCCTGTAATGCTAAGTAAATACGGTTGTTAAGGTTAAGGAAATAGAGTGTGTTACCTTGATACACACTGTGGCTTAGCCAGGCTGTCCACAAGAGTATATACTGTACAGTGCTCTCACACTCACACACAGACTCTATGGACATCCCTCTCCATTTTATATACTCTGCTGTCCACTTCACTGCATCAATAAAGAGACCACATATGAGCGTCTGTGAGATTTGCTGCGTACTTACTGCATTCCACTGGGTTAAGTCTCTGCAGCCTTCACTAGCAGAGCTAAACCAGCACCATTACTTATGTTATTGTGGTACAGAGCCATAAGGATTGGTATGTTTATTTAAAAGCTCATGAAAACACAAATTGTGAAAGCAAGCTGTGTTATTGCCCTGGTCTATTCGTGATGATTAATATGCATTTATAAATCAAAGGCAAGCACTGAAAGCAGCTTGTGATACTGTGGATATTGGAGTAAGATTGCTCTATGATTTGTTTCAGGCGGTGCAGGGAACTCCACCCAGTCTCGAGGACCCAACAGCTTCGGGGGCGAGGGCGGGGGCGAGAATGGACCCCTTCAGCCCTCCAACATCGCCCTCATCGCCGGCGCCGCTGGAGGCTCCGCCTTCCTCCTGCTGGTGACGGCTGTGATCTGCGTGGTGTGCTACAGGCGGCGACACGCCAAGCACTCGGACACCCACCACCCTCCGCTGTCGCTGTCGTCGCTCACCAGCCCCAAGAGGGGAGGGGGCGGGGGTATCTCCAGCTCCAACAACAACGGTTCTGAGCCCAGCGACATCATCATCCCCCTGCGGACGTCGGACTCAGCCTACTGCCCGCACTACGAGAAGGTGAGCGGAGACTACGGACACCCCGTCTACATCGTCCAGGAGATGCCGCCTCAGAGCCCGGCCAACATCTACTACAAAGTATGAGACGGCTGCTGCTCCAGCCGACTGGACACATCCACCTCCCTCTACCCATTACCAACCAATCCCCTGCTCCAGCAAAGCTCGCCATCACAGCTCCGACCCTGAACCCCTCAATACTACCAGTATTGTCCCATGGACCCCCCTCTCAATGCCCCGTGAGCCCGGTCACAGTTGTGTTCCTAGCTGAATAAACCACCCCACCCCATACTCACACAACTGGGCCACCGAGTGTGTGTTAAGGGCAATGTCGTATTCGTACATAGCCCTTCTTAACAAGGCCCTCATGAACGGGCAAGAGCCTCTGAGTGTCCCCTTCTTATTAACTCAGAGCTAAACGAGCCCCACCCGTGCTGAATTGAAGAGTCGTCCCCGTAACGCTAGTATGTGCGTGTGTGGCAACACACTTTATTTCTAGGAGTATGGACCTGGCGTTGGGACTTGAGATGTTTTACAAAAGAAAAAAAGAGAAAGAAAAGGACTACAACTTAAAAAAAAAAACTACACCCCTGATCCCACTTATCGCCGGAGAACTCTGATTCCCAGAGGCCATACCTGCCTAGCTCACCGCCCCGCCCCTCAGAGCTCCATCAGCCAACCAGAGACCAGCCCCTGCCACTAACTCACCAATAGGATTCTAGTTTGTTTGTGTTTGTTTCTCCTGAGAAAACATGGGGGCCTCGGACTCACCCAATCAGCAAGCCCGGGCGGCGGTCACATGACCAGGCCCAGGCCTGAGGAGGTCTGACCAATCGGTGACACTCAGAATCTTGTATATTTTAATAATGTGTGTGTGTGACTGTGCGAGTGTGCATACGACTTGGGTAATAATTATGGCGCTGCTGCTCCACATTAGACGTGTGTGTGCAGTTAGTGTGCTTCAGTACAGCAAGTTTGCATATGAGTTTGCATATGCGTGCGTGGGGTTTAGTTTGCGTGTGTGTGTACGCTTTGTGTGTGAGTGATTGTGCGTACGTGTGCGTTCTTTAGACTTGTCTTAAATACCAAAACACAAAATAGTGAGCGAATATCAAAAAAGTGAGATTTTTTATCGCTATCAACACTTATAGATTATATATATGAATATCCAGTAAATAATTTCTAGATGTTTTTTTTCTGTTTTCTATTGTTTGATTATTTTTACCCACTCTGTTAAACTACACTTCTGTTGCTAGACATTTTTTATCTGCTGTTTTTGTTTTTCACAACTTAGAATGACCTTGTTTCCTTCCTTTTTCCCTTTGCATTGTATATTAATTTAATCCCTTTTTTAATTTTCCCGGCGAACAGAGGTTGTGTCTCTCTTCCTCTCTTCCCTCCCCTCATTCAACCCCTTCTTCCCTCCCTCCTCCTTCCCCTCCCACCCCTCTAGGGTCTCTGAACTCTGTGTATATTTTTATAGCTCCTTGTACTATGCTGTAGTTTTGAAGTTTAGACCTCGTTTGTGGAAGTGTTGAGGTAGAACCATCTATGAAAGTTTTTTTTTTTTTTTTCAAACGCTTTTTTTTTAAACGCAGAAGTGAAAAGAAGTGAGGGGCAGGGGGAGGGAGGGGGGAGGTGGTGATG